TAAATTATGTCACGTGCTACATTTGATAAAGTGATCTACACTAATCAAGTACCAATAAAAATATCAAAGAATATCAATGAAATAATTATAAATAAATAGATAAAAATAGAAATAGAATGAAGATCATAATTAAAAATAACTATCCAATGGTAGTAGATGCTATTTTTATCACAACATACATGAGTTATACTTAGTAATAGTACAGTATATTTATATGCTTCTCTCATATATTACTCTGTTATACCTTAGGTATATTAAATAGGTACTATATATATCAATTATTTTTAGCAACCTATCTATATTAGCTAGTTTATACAGATTATGTCATATATATAAGTACTACCTTATCGAAAAGCTATATAATTACTTTTTGATTATTTCTAGCTCAATTTTATTAAAAGCAGGCTAGTTATCAGACCATCAAATTTTCTTTATTTTGGATCCAGTATTTTGATTCTTCAGAGTGGTTTACGAGTTTTTTTTTTTATTAAAACCTTTTAGTAGTTAGGATAGGACCTCGCCTTCACTGTTCAGTGTTTGTTTGACTATATTCTGTTTTTTCAAAAACACTCTATCAGTCGGTTGAATTTGTTCTTCTTATTGTCAGTGCAACATTATCAATTTAGAATGGTTCTAGTTTTGATTTTAGATATTGATTCAATTATAATCTTCATATAGATTATCTATATTATTAACAGATTCCCTTTTTGCTTATCAATAGTTATATTCAGAAATATCAGTTATATATACTTAGGTCAATGAATAAATATTTATACTTTTTATAAGATTTAAACTTATATCTTGTGATTTGACCTATAGAGTGTCAACCACTGTACTATCAATCCATAGATCAGTTCTTGAAATAAAATAAACTCTAGTATAAGGGATTAATAATATACAAAATAGGAATCTTATAGAAGTTTTCAAGACAAATCTTTCTAAAATATCAAGATAAGCTCCTTTAAAAATAAAAACACTCTTTTTATAAGTTTCAAGACAATCCCCTATAAGTAATGATAGGTTTCTAATATAAAATTTTGCAGATCACTTGTGTTTTTTTTTGAGAGATAAAATTTATAGTTCGTTATTTTAATAGTGACAAAAGTTAGGAAATGCTATAATCAATAATTTGAATAGTGAAGAACAATTATAGATAGTTTTTTATAATTATTAATTTAAAAATTTTAATGTTTCCTAGTGAGGGACATTTGACCTTTATCCTTGCTTTATTCTTTAAAAACTTATCTTTATTTATAAATATCAAGACAACTATTGTAACAAAACTGTCTTCTTTTTTTTTTTCTCTTTCTTCAAGCATTAACTGAACTAAAAAATCTCATATAAGAAACCTTCAATATTAATGGTGCTAGATATTTTAGACAAGCTCTTGATGCATTAATTTTTCTATATAAGAATAGCAACAAGTCTTTTGATGAACCTAGGTCCTAGAAAGTACAAACTTTAATTTCATAGATATAAACAGGATTACTTTATTCAATTAAATGTTTAGAATTCTCTGTAAAATTCTCATGTCAAATTAGAGTAAAGAGACAATTCTATACTAGACAGACACATGGTTATCCTATTTTGGTTGGGTAAGATATAAATAGATGTCTTTTGTACTATTTGTTGATCTATAAATCTTTAGATAATATGAATAATTACTTATTTCAATTTTTCCTAGAAATTACAGTATTTTCACTTTAATAAAGTATTTGAAGCTGATGTAAAAATGAGCTAGCCCTTAAAAAAAAAAATAATAATAATATATTTATATTAATTAATTATTTTGTTAAGAGTTATGTTATTCAAAAATTTAAACTAAACTGAAATAGATATAATTTTTTCAAAAAATCATAAAAATAAAAACTTTAAATAGATCAAAACAATTAATAAAAAAAAATATTAATAATAAATTTTTATACTTAAAAATTAACTTTGATTAAAAAGGTTTATAAACAAGCAGAAATAATTTTTAAAGATACTTTTAAATAAATTATTAAAATTTTATTAATTGAAAAATTAAAAAAAAACTTTTATCTAAATATTTTTTGATATAATGTTTGATCAAAGAATCAATAAAGAAGGTTTTTAATAATATTTTTTGTAATAATATTATTGAAATATGTAAGTATAATTAATAAATTTATGCTTATATTTTTTTATTCATCTAATCTATTTTAAATTGATCAATATCATTCAAAAAACTTTATATTATATTTATTTTTAATCAAAATATTCGATTTAAGAATCTTTTATTGTAATATAAATTTTATAGAAAAATTTAAAAACAACAGAGAGATAAAAAAAATTTTTTTTTTCATATAAATTCATATAAATTTATTTTTTACTGTGTGATTGGTGAGTCGGTGATACGATATCAAATATATTGTTTTTACTTGCTGAATAATAAAAAATTTTTACAAAGCATTTAAAGATATCGATAAATTATTTACTTGTCATCAAGAACATTTGCCAACTAATCATTGATCATTAGGTTATTACCAATATTTATCTTTTCTTTTTTTGATAATCGATGCAGATGGTCATTGACTCTTCTTAAAAGTTACCTTGATTTACAGTTGATTTTCAATCGATTCATCCTTTCATAACTTGTTTCCTATCAAGAAGTAAAAATTCCATATTATTTGAGCTTCTAGAGATGATAAGTAAAAGATATCTCAACCTATGCGTGCATTGATATACTGTACTAGAGTTTATGATTTCACATGAACCACAATTTAAATTATCATTATTATTTATTTACTCATTTAATATACAGTATATTGTACATACATGCAGAATACTGTTGCACAAGACGGGAATTCGATTAAGCGCACGGTCCGGCAAAAAGAGACTTCTTGAGAATTCCGTTCCGTTGTAAACCATCGTCATGTTGAGAATAATTGTCATTGTCGTTATTCAAATTACGTGAATAAGACGCTTGAACGTCACCGCGTGCGTTGTAAGGAAAAAGTATTTCGACAACATGAATTCCACAATTATTTATTCAATTGACGACTCGGATTAAGTTATTGACGTCTTCCTTATTCAGGCCAAAAAAAATGCTATTTATAAAAGCCGCAAGAGAGTTAATATGAAGATGTGATTATGTCATTAGTGCGATGATCATCATATCGACAAACGCCATGTTTAAAAAATGACCTGCAAAATCATTTACAATTAATTAAGGAGTCATTAATAACTGGTTCATAAGTAAATCAAATCTCAGATTATTCGTCGACTTCATGCACACTCTGCATCCTCATGCATATTCGATCGCTAGAACCAGATGTACCACCCCACCTGCTAATTTAAAGCAGAAAACCTGATACATTTGTACGCCCACGTTGTGTTAAACAGAATTCATTATGTTATAATTTTGGAAGGATCGTCACCAATGTGCCAAAATCTTTGTCAATTCAAATTCTCTCTCTCTATGCGTCCTCTTTTGGTGTCGTTAACTGTATTTCCGTATTTGGACCGTCCAACAAGGAGAAATTTCATAAAGAGTCGTATTGTTCAAACGTTTGTCGAGGTGAAATGGGTGGGGTGATTGTGTAGATACTCCCGAGTTCATACTCGTTCAACAATTAATTTCATGCGCAGAAAGAGTGGCGTGACTTTTGACGCGGCAAACTTTTTATCGTTTTTTAATCGTCGTTTCATGCCCTTTTTTAAGAAAAAAATTCCGATGTACAGTATGATATTAATTAGGCTTTGAAACGACGATGTGCAACTGATTCCTACACAAATGCAAACCCTTGCGTGTTTATATTGCAACTTTCTTATTTTGGTCAGGAAATTTCAGTGAAACAGTGTACAATATATTGAGAAATTTCATCTTCAATATGTCGAATTTGACTTTAAACCATAAAAATTCTAAACTAGTGCGACTCGCCAATAATAAAAACCCTCGACTCACCATGCCTTCCCCTTGATTACAGTCGTCTTGGTAGTTTTAAAAGGAGTGCCGAGGTAATTGTTGTGCAATCAACGGTCCGGTTCTGTACATTCTGTTTCTATCCGAATTACTCCACCTGCATGTCCTTGTTCTCCTTCGCATACCTCCTGTTTCATCTCCTATAGTTATTATAGAGTGGTTCTAAGAAAAAAAAAATCTACAAGAGTTACGTTTTCTCGTTTCTTTTCTTTTTCTTTCTTTTTATTCTCTCACTCCTTCGGGATTCCTTGTTTTTCTTTTCTTTTTTCTTTCCACCTCATCCACCTCTCTTGTTGCTGGTCATCAAGTGCGTTCTCATTTTCTTGTCAGTTTGGATGTTTTCAGTTGCCCTCAACCTTTCTTCAGCACACTCGGAAACTACTTTCTTTCAATCCCACTCACTTCCGAATTTCTCTCGCCTTCATAGAACTATTGTATAAAATCGTTTCCCTCGCCTCGCCAAAAAGCACTTGTATAAAACTGCCCCTTAAATAAATTAAATATATATATACTGTATATATATACACATACATATATATATATATATATATATACGCATCTACATAATTTCGTTTTTGTGGCGAGTACACTAGAACGAATAGACAGGACGAAACTTTAAATTTGCATTATACACTACATTATTTGTACACAACACAACACAAATCTCACATAAAATATGGCAGGAAACAAGCAAAAACGTCAAAGATACCGAGCGATCAGTAAATCTGTGTTGGGATCTTTCGCGCTCTTGGAAATATGTTATTTACTCACCGGTGTATTTATCTTGGTTCTCGGCATTATGTGGTTTATGACGATGGGTATTAATTTGCACAGTGTAGTGATGTCACAAGAATTAATCATAGGTATGCGCATGTTTTGACGTTCAAACTTTTTATTCATTCCTTGAAATACACGCTAAACAATTCCGCGTCTTTTTTTTTCTGAAGGCGGTTTCGTGATTGGTGGATTAATCGTGTTATCATTCTTGGTGGCCTTGGTAGGATTCATCAGTCCCATGAAACGAAAGAATTGGTTGATAGCTCATTCATTTTTGATAGTAGCCTCGTCGCTGGGTCTGTTGGTGTTGGGTGCAATCATTTGGTTTGACACGTTGGAAGAACGGTCGCATTTCAATGACGAGTGGGCGGAATGGTCGACTCCTATGAAAGCGTTCCTTGAAGATAAGGTACTTAAACTCGGTTTATTAGCATTCAATCAAGTGCGATGACAAATACTTACCTCCTTGAAATTTACCAGTTAAATTGTTGTGGATGGAGCGACCCATCCGACAATCCCGTGACCTCCAACACATGCAGCAGCGCAAACATGAGTTCAATCCAAGGATGCATGGATCTCGTGATAAAATCGGCAGACGAAACTTCCCAACGAATATTCACCACCCTATTTGGTTTCATAGCTATCGACGTGTTCGCGCTATTGGCGACCGTTGTATTGATACAGGCGAGGAATGTGGAGGAGAGGTATCAAAAGATCGACGAGAAACATAGCAGTTATGTGGATAATGCTTTGAAGAGACAGTATGTCTAAACATGGAAGGAGAAAAAAACTTTTTTTTTTTTTTTTTTTTTTCGCTTTCCTTACATTTCTTCGGAGAAGACTATACAAAAGGCAATTGCAAAGGCGGTTGCCCTTTTTCTTTATGTAATAATCATTTTTCAAAAAAAAAACGGGAAAATTTTCGGCAATGTACGTGTGTATGTGTATCATAATAAAATATACCACAAAAAATTATAATGGAAAAAGAGAGAGAAAAAAAACGAGCTCCGTCTAAAATACTTTATTTATTTATAATGCTGATTGTCAAACATCCCGAAAGGGTCGGCTCACGCTTCAACCGACCTTTTTGACGGAAACTTCCTCTTGAGCTTGTTTCTCCTGTTCCTCTTTCAACGCTTTGGCGAAGATGTTGTTAAGGAACAATGGCTTCCCGCTGTAAAGAAAGAAAGGGCACCATTACACGTTAGGCTGGTGAATACTTTCGTGAGAATAGACGAATAATTCCGACCTTTTATAATTTTTCACTTTCTTAGCTCGTAGCTTTTGCGTGCACGGAGACAACATGGTATCGGTGGGAGACGTAATGCTGGTTTCAATTGGAAAGGTGGTGAGCATTGTGTCGGTAAACCCATCAAAGAGCGAAATTATCCAACTCACTTGATGCTCCTATAATTCGGCAATGGTTGCCCGTTATCAGGTTTGGGCTTGTTAATGTGCATCTCTTGAATCTCATTCGAAGCGATCACATCGTTTTTACCCGATCCCTCGACGAGAGGACCAAACATCCCTTCGAATTCGGAGTGGTTATTTGGTTGAGGTGTCATTGCTTGTTTGTTTGTGAAAATGAACGCGTGAAACGAGTTGACCAACCAATAAATCCAAATTTATACACAAATGTACGTCACACGTCACGTCACCATCACTAACTGTATTTTTCAGATTGCATTATTTACTCGAAATACAGTATAATAATGATTACTTTTTTGTATAAGCAAAATTTTATTTTTAAATTGAATTTTATATAATGCTAAACTTGATTATTTTTTTAAAAAAAAATACACCACGGCATTTATCTATTTACTCCAGAATTAATGAATTTTTTTCGTCATTACCAAAGACCTCACTATGTTTCGGTGTCTAGTATTATCTTTATTCCCATGCTTGCAAGTTCCGTCACGAGGTACCTGAATGCATAGGGAATTTTGATCAAGGTGATCCACCGAGCGGTATTGCAAATATCGCATTGAATGTGATGCTTCTTGTAGGCGCGATTGGAATTTATCGTATGGTGTGTTTTCAGTGACAGCGAAGTGAAGATGGAACCACATCTTCGACACAGATGACACTGTGGAAAAAAAGGACTGTGCGTTACCATTCGATTCACAACCAGTCTGTCAATGCGGCGCAATAATTTACCTGCGAAAAATCCGAACAATTCATCAGCCGGTCTTGCAAACAAAAGCTCATTCCATGCGCCAAAAGCGAATCCCGCTCCATTTCTCCAAACCTAACGCCTCCGCTCCTCTTACGACCTCCAATCGGTTGCATCGTCAAATTATGAACAGGACCGGTAGCTCTGACTTGCCACTTGTCCGAGACCATGTGACGTAGACGTTGGTAGTATACCACTCCAATGTAAATATCAGCATGGAATTCCTCGCCGGTTATTCCACTGTACATTGGTTCATTGCCGTGATAATTATAACCGGCGCGTAAAAGCTGCTCCCCAAAGTAATCGATTGCCGTACGTTCTTCATCAAACTTGAACGGTGTGCAATCCTGCGCTATTCCAAACAGGGCTCCACACTTTCCCGCCAAACTTTCCACAAACATGCCAATGGTCATGCGTGAAGGAAACGCGTGAGGATTAATGATGATGTCAGGCTGCATTCCACTCTCCGTAAAGGGCATATCCGTCTGCGGCCACAATCGAGACAAGATACCTTTTTGCCCATGCCTCGAAGAAAATTTATCACCTATGACCGAAGGTCTGGGAATTCTCAACTTTATGTGTACCCTTTGAGCCTCGTTCTTTCCCAAGTCATCGCCGAGCAATCGAACTTGGTCAACGTAAGCATCCTCTAGTCCCTTGTATTTTTTCACTTTCGTGACCCCTTTGGTTTCATCAATGTACGCGCACAAGGAATCATCGGTCGTCAACCTGGTACCAATGAATGGCAAACCATCATCATCAAGTTTTTCACGCCAGGAAGGTGGAGCGTCTTCACCAAGACCAAAATGATGCTGAATTGGATCACCGATTCTGCGAAAATCTTCGAGACTTATTATCTCGGATTTATAAATGGTTCCGTATCCAAACCCTCTTTCATGGGAAGACTTGTTGATGATCATGGCATCCTCCATATCATAACCTGAAAGTGAGTTAGGCATAGACCTATACATATATATTTATAATTATATTTAAAAAAAAGTTTCGATTTATCGCGTGCATACGTACACGTGTATGAGACCACGGCAACGATGGCATTGGTGCCATTAGGAAACGCATCTAATCCAAGGGTGTTATGAAGCTCGGGTCTCACTATCGGGGTTTGACCCGTCTGCAAACGATACAGTTTATTGTCAGTTCGATGCATTAGGGCCGTCGAAGGTGTCCCCATAGTTTGCTTTGCCATCTGAATAAGTATTCACAACGTGCAGGAGGTCATTCATTGCCACGTGAAACAATTGAATGAAAGTAGCGGAAACACAAGTAATCACAATTCTCACCTGACATTGATACATGTTTCGAGGGCTTTGGTTGTAATCCGAAAATGGCGTCAAATTGGCAAGAATACTTAACACGTTAATTGGAGACCATTCTTGATGGGTGGTCACGCCTTTGACAACATCTTCTTGTAAGCACGCAATGTTCATATAAACTTGCTCGAATGAACCAATCATATCGGTCTTTCCATTTGCAAGAAAATTGACGGGTCTCATCATACGCCCCGGACCTGAGAAGAGGTATATCCCTGGATATTGACCACCATTCGATGGGGGAACATAACCGATCTCAAGGTCGATTGGCATCTAATTGAATTGGAAATTCAATGTCATTTAAATTCATGTGAAAGATGCGAAAGAGAAACTCCCAAGATTTATCACTCAGATTATACCTTTTCTTCGGTTTTCAATATTCTCAATTTGCCCGCAATGGATTGAGCATGCTTAACAGAACACCATCCCAATATTTTTCCGTCCAGTTGAACACAGATGATATCTCTTCCATTTATTGGCGGTCTAATAGAAACACCTAATTCTGACAAAAATAATGGAATCTTGTCGACGTTAAGAATCGACGTGATAACTCGACAGGAATATGAGAGGTGATTCAGCAATCCACAGGGTGATCCATCGGGAGTATGCACCGGACATATGAAGCCTGACAACCGAGGACGGCAGTTAAGGTCAATTAAGTGCAGCACAAAGAAATCGTCAAATCAATGAGAACTCACCCCACGACTCTGGTAAAAGCTTGCGCACCGTGGTGGTTTTCAGTTCTGCAAAGAAAGACCCCCGATGAACACACCGAAAATGAGAAATGTAACGAAAGAAGTTGAGCTTTTCTGCGACGATGGTATAACCAGTAGTCTAAATAAAGGTTAGATGTGATCTTCAATATACAGTACATATCTCTTTATATTAAGGATACACTTACCTGCATCAAATCTAAACCTGTATTCGAAACTAGATTTCCTGTTGCCAGGAAATATGTCAACTTTTTGCCAATTTCCGAATTTGATTTGTTGAATATGGATGAAAGATATTTCTCTAGAATGGTTAATCGACGTGTAAATAGGAATTCTCGCGGTAGAATAACTGCACCTACTACTCACTGTTACTGAAATCCACATTCTTTTTCGCATTTATGTCTAACAAAACTTGACTCCTGATGCCATTTAAATAATCGGCGAGCTTTTCCTTAATGATCATTCCATAAAGATGACCGCCCAAAAGAATTTCTTGATTTTGTGGTGAGTCGGGATTGTCCGGACAACAATTTCCACCGACGAGAGAATATAATTTTCGAATCATAAAACTTCAAATTAAATTTTTAATGAATTAGAAAACAAACGTATTTATTCAACAATTTTAACAGACTTCACCTACATTAAAAGATTAAACTTGTCCTGATCATTTGTGAGGTGTACCAACAGAACCTTTTTTATCACACGTTCTCCAACCCGTTTGTTAGAATAATGAGATGGTACTCCAAAGACCACCCGAAATTTTTCTCCCAGCAGAGTTAAACATTGTTCCCTAGATTTTACGCCGAGAGTTTTAAATTCTTGAAGCATGAGTTCCACTCGGTCCGACACGAAGGTATTTTCAAGGTCGCCTAACATCAGCATTTCATAAATCCCTCTATCATTAGTCTCAACCAGAGACTGAATCGATAGGCAAATGTTATGTGAGAAATTGATACTCTATACTTTCATGTGATAAAGAGAGTCCAGTCGACAACTTTACCTTCGCTAAAAGCATCACAGGAACCATATATTCCTGTTTACGCCAAACAAACCTTAGCATACAGTTCCCATTTTTTAAATAATGCAATGTGTTTGTCATAGTTGTCTGATCTTGCTTGGCGCACCGGATGGACACGCCGTACTCGGTGTAAGATGTTCCACGTTTCGCAAAAGATGGCCTGACGAGTGCCATCACGTAATTTCGTCTCTGTATCAACAAAAGGCGGATGATCTTCTCGATCCCATTGATAATAAAATATCCCCCCATCTCTTCCGATTCTTCATGATGTTCGACCATTTGTTTGGAATAGAAAGATTGAATATTACAACGATTGGACTGAAATTGTGTGAAAGTCATCATACATTTATTAGATGTTCCGAGATCAATCAAATAATTATTGAAATTATAAAGATGATACACTACTTTTACCATGATGGGAACCATTCCCATTGATCTGGTGTCCATGTTCGGTGCCCCATCATTCACTTGCCAAAAAAACTTAATGATCATTTTGCCAGCATATGTGGTCAACCTTTCTCGGCACTATAAATATTCCAATTGCTTAGTTCATCGATCGACAATTAGGGAGTTGGTCACTGGTTGATTGATACTGGTAACAATTTGATTTGATACCTCGGATGGAAATATTTGTCTTGTTTTTACTCCGCGAATGTTTTCAGACAAAAAAGGCTTTCCAATTAATACCTCCTCGATCCATACTTTTTTGAAAACAACTTATCCAAGTAAATCAAAGTGACTTCCACAATTTGAATCAATGCATTGGATGTAGTATTTAAGATACCTTTTAATATGTTTCCCTTCTCGGGACTATTGTGCGGAACATCGGCAATTTCAATGACTCCAATATCGTCAACAGCATAATGCAATAATCCCTTGGTAGGAGGTTCCAATAAAGAATTAAATGAGTCGATATGAGGTTTCACGAGTCTTTGTAATTCAGGGGTTCCGAATTTTTTATCGCTAGGGTTGAGGAAAAGTTTTTCGCGTTCGCAAGTGTGAAAGGTGGAGGGCATGTTTGTGAAACAGCTAATCAATCTTGAATTTTTTTTTTTTTGATCTAGCAAAAAAAAAAATCGGATGTGTCACGTGCACAGGCGATTTACCGTACCTTGGGTGGTTGAGATGTAAATAGTTAGCTCTTTGTACCGTTCATCCCTTTTACAATGCACAAGTAGGAATGTGATGATCCAGTCCTGCCGGTTTTGGTTCTTTGCTGAACTTTGGTACTGGTTATGAATTAATTCGACTAAATAAGGAAATGTACAGTATATTTTTTACTGTATGTACGGTAAGCATTTAGTAATTATGAATAAATTAAAACTCACTCTATAAAAATAAAAAATTTATAATTAGTATAAACTTAAACTTATTGCACCAAAATTTCATATATGATTTTAGCAAGGTATTATTAGTATTGCATTAAAAATATCATTTTTGCAGTAACCGAAGTTTACTTCGTAAAATTTGATGTTTGTGAAATCTAGGAATCCGAATTATTAATTTATGTAGCGAAAATGAGAACAAAAGACGAAAAGTTCATTGGATCATAAATTTCCGATACAAGATACTTCTACTTCAGAATGTTTAATCCACCCACGACCAATAAAACATGCCTCCTAACGAAATTTCTGTGGCAATCTAGGCCGACATTCGGTTAAAAAAAAAAAATACCACACCTTAAATAATGTATAGACAAATTTGATCGAATATTATATGACTACTATATGATCGACCGCCGGTTAATAAAGCAAATTTAACTAGGCGTTAGGAGTTAACAGCAAATCGATTATCACTCACTCTTCTTTTTCTTTTTATTAACATCTTCAGACTTTTTACGTCTTTTAATTATGTCTGCGAATGAAGAAGCAAGTCAAATGAATTGGCAGGTCACACCATAAGAAAACGCATGGACAATAATTTACCACTTGTACTTGGTTGACCGGGATTAGATGGTGGTATCGAAGGTTGATCCTATAATTGAATAATAACCAGTTGTCGACACGAAAAAAATCTTAAATTTCCAGGAATATATTATTAATAATAGAAATTTTTCACATACTAAAGCATTCTTCCCGATAGCTGCTGAAGGATCACTTTGATCCCCGTTTTTTGAGGTACCATCGTCCTCTTTAGATAACAAAGCTGCTTGGTTATATTGATTGCGCCACTTAGTCGTTGCAAATTGAGTTGCATGCTCTATTCCGGCGCGGAAAGTTACCAATTCCGCAGGTGGCTGCTGGATAGCCCGAGATTCTGTTGGACAAAAGAGCGCAGATTAGATTTGTTTTGATATCCTAAATTGCTGGAGAATTCTCCCTCGGATTACTTGATGATTCTGTCTGTGATTCACCGAATTTCCACGTATAACCGGTTGCTGGATGAAACTCCACATGCTCGTACGCTTTATTGAAAGCTAAATGTAATTGGTGGATGCTAGTTAGCTAAAATTTATTGATTAAAATGGATTATTAAGTGATGTTATTTAAAAGGTTTTGGCGCTGAAAAGCATTGGAACCTACGATGCGATTCCCGATAATTGAGTTCAAACTTGGCGCTTGATAAATATTATTGTTCAAAACATAGTATGTCGCTATTGGGTTGGCTGCATTTTGATTGAGATGAGATATGTTAGAACATACAATAATGTTATATAATTCACGCACAATTTGTTGACTAACCATCGAATTCGCTTATGCGATTTTGTTTACGAATGACCCAAAGCGCTGGAGGCTTTTCGTAAACGACTTGGAACTCTATTCCTTTCATTCGCCTACAAGTCAGCAGTACCACAAATAAGTGGGTAATTTTGCATTGAAAAAGGTAGCAAATGTCCGAATATCTGATACTTTAATTCGAAGTTTAAATCTTTTAAATCATTGTAACGCGTTTGCATTTGTAAGGAAGCGTTATTGCAGCTTCGGTCCCAGAAGGTCGATTCTGCAAAGTAGTTGAGAACATTGCTTGAATTGAGTTGTCCCTCTGGTTGCTACGAAAAAGAAGAAAATAGGTATGGTCGTTATTCGAAGGAGAATCATAAATTGATTTTAACCGACTTACAGCTTGAATCCATTCAATGCTCCTCCAAGTAATAGTTGTCGGGTCCGCGAGTATTTCTTCGTCTGGTTCAGCCATAAAATCGCGTGAATTCTATCTACTATAGGTGCGTATGTACGTTTACGTCACTTTAAATTTACCATAAATTAAGGATTAAAATATTAAAAATAATAATAATATACAGTAGAATAATTTTTATAATTTAATAAAATAAATTCTTTTGTTTTTTGTTTTTTTAGTTATATTCTTTATATTTTAAGACAATTCTTATTAAATTAAAATTAAAAAAAATAATTCATAAGCCAATAACTTAGATAATCAAGTTTCAAATCTTTAAGTAAAAATTTCTAGTTCAAAGTTTATTAAGAAATAATTGAAATGTTAAACTATATAAAAATAGGATCTTTGTTTTGTTAATTATAAAACTAAAATAATTATTTGTACAAATTATATAAAAAAGAATTTTTAATCTAATTATATATAGTTCTGCTCAGATTTTTCTATTTTAAATTATATTAATAAACTTTAAAAAAACTTATTTTTAAAACTATAGTAATTGGTTAAATATATAAATCAATTTAATAATCACAAATAAAAAATTTTATTTATATATTAATTTTAATAAAAATATTATAATTTAATATAAAATAAAATTTAACTATTCAGAACTATTTTAAAAATATATTTTAATATCTTGATAAAAAAAAATATTATTATCAATTCAAAAATAACATTTAATATTAAATAAATAAAATAATTGAAATTAAGTTAATTAAATTTTTATTATTTTAATATAATATTTTTTTTTTTTTAATATAATATATATATATTTTTTTTTTAATCCACAGTCAGGTCAATATGGCTTATCTATTTTATTTTAAATATATTTGATATTTACATATTTTATGACTTTCACATATTGACTTACCTGTCTACAAAGTTTAACCTTCTCTAGATGCAACTTAGGGAATGATATTTTGCTCCCTTGTGGCTTGGATTATCCTTTAACCACTTAGATTATTGCCTACAGCTTATCACTGTAGATCTCCCAAAGTTAAAACTGTGATTAAAAACCAAATCATTTAAAACCTTTGGATATCCAAATATTTATTATATCTACTATATTGCCTTGAGACTTTATTCATTCTGAGTCTTCTTTTTATTCTGTCATATTTCTGGAGAGACAAATAGAGGAGTAATTGGCTTCCTTAAGGACTCGATCTGTTTTTCTAGTCATATCAGTTGTTATTCTAAGCTTTTTAAGTTTACTGGTAATTCCTTGATTTTGTTTCCATTCGATAGTAATACTACAATATTTGTTCCAGACTTCTTTCTTGAAAGTCTTCCTTATTTTTTTACAAAATTTATCAATAGCCTCTTGTGTTATTGTTGCTGGAATTTTGAGGACTTTGAGGTGCTTTTCCAGGATCTTGATCTTGTCTCTGTGTATAAAGCCATAGACTGTATTATATAAGCTTTTATCCTATTGTTTAATGTCCTGAATCCATTTCCTTGTTACTCTTTTAACTTTTACTTAGCTTTTATCAATAGATTTTTTGTATTCCTGATATACTGAAGGATTTTACTTTGAGATTTGTCACATATAATTAATCTTTCACTTTGAGTCTTGAAACATTTGAAAAAATATTTCAGGATTTTCTCTTATAAATTGCACATTGAGCAAATTGTGCTTAAATATAAGTCTGGTTTTCTTTTCTACATCACTTGAAGGGTAGGAAGCTTATCATGGGTTACATTTATTAGGAAACTCTTGTTCTTGTTGGTACTAAAGGAGGTATAAAAGATATTGTATGAATTGAATTGTCTCCAGAAAATTTGCCAGTCAATTTCTTTACTAGGGTGTATCCATCGATCTTGAATATATTTTTGCTCTGTCCAAGCTAGTCCTATTTTCTTAGCATTCCATTTTTTAAGAAATCTCTAATACTGATATCAATAGTATGTTCTTTCCAGGCTACTATTGTGAGAACTTGACTCAAATCAGATATTTGTTGCCAAGTCAAATGATTTTCTCTTCTGGCCTACTTTGCTAACCTATCTGCTATATTGTTGAACTTATTGTTTTGATGAACCTTGATCTTTTTAAGTGTGAGGCAAAGGTTTTTCTTTTGCACTAGGTCCTTGATTCGGTTCCATAGTAGCCAGTTGATTATTTTGATCCATTTCCTTATAAAAATAAACTTTTGCGACTGAATTGTCCTCCATATCTTAATGGCTGCACTACAATCTGTATATATGGTTGCTTCTCCATTTTTAGGTATTGTAAAGATTGTAGTAAGTATAGCTAGAATTTCTGCTCTTGTAGCTGATGGCCATGATGTTGCCCCTGCTAAGAATTGATTGATTATTCTATTATTCTCAATTTGAATCTATGTAAGACCCATTTCAAGTTCATCCTCGCTTTTTGTACATTGCTTGTAAGATCCATCAGTAAAGAAAGTGAATTGCTTTGTATTGCTTTTATAGTTGTATCTAAGACTCTTTATTAGATCTGTTATATGCTCCTCTGATTGTATGGCCTGTTTAATTAGATTGACTTCCCAATTCTCTATTTGTATCTCAATTTCTGCTGGCTCTAATAGATATGTAGTACTTAATTCATTTATTAATACTGTGGGTTGTCAGTCTGTAGGGTTTCCTGAAAGTGTAAGTAGATTCTTTTTCCTAAAACTTTCTTGCTTATTTAGTTGCAGTAATAACCAGGTTTGAGATGTATGTGAGATCATTGGTTGTTTGGATATATAAGAATGACAGATAGTACTATTTGTGATAGGATTATAAATGAGCTGATATGGTGTAAAAAGTACTTCTTTGCTTTGCATTTTGATTTTTCCTATAGTAGTTCCTTTTGTTTCAGTCAAGACTCTCCAATTGGTTTTCCGTTTGTCCATTTTAGGAGCCACTTTTACCATTTGAAGTTCATGCTCAATCCATTTTAGAGTTCGGTAGGATTGTTTTAGCAAGTCTTGTTGTTCTATTACCTTTGCTCTAATTTGTGTATACCAACTTGGAATAAGACCTTTGCACGTACCGGCAAAAATCTGAACTGCTCTCCATTCCCTTATTGTTAGTGGTCGTATTAATTAGTTGATCCAGAAACATTATTTTGTTTCTTTTTAGTGAAGGAATAGTTTTCATATATTCTTTTTCATCATTTATGATCGTCTTGATAGACATGATGCCTTCTTGAGTATCAAAGATCTTTTTCTATCTCCAACTATTATATGTAATCTGTAGCTTTTTTGCCATAGCCAGAGTTGCAGCAGCAAGGTTACCTTTCTCAATTGTTTTGACTTCTACTGAATCATCCAGTATGTTTTTGGGCTCCCAATATTTGAGTTGGCTTTGTTTAAGTCAAATAACTATTGCAATTTCTGGAGCTTCACTGTTATTTGTTAATAAAACAGTATTGTTATATGATTTTCTAGTTGGATTTTCCATACACTTTTGAGCCTATAGATTTGTTTGTTATGTATACAACTATTTGGCATTGTTCTACAAATTAAGGCTTTGTTTTTGAAAGCTTTTCTAT